GGATAGGTTTTCATTCAGAACAAGGCCAGTTTCTATTTAAGACATTTCACTCAACTACAGATTCTAAAAAACAGTATCACACTGTAAGTTCTACTTCATGCTCTGCAAAGGAGGCCTTACATACAGGCTGCTTTAACGCATGGTTTTACTCATGTCATCTGCCACAGAAAAGCACAGTGGGGCTGTTTGACCTTGTGAAAGCAAAGCATACTGGCAGGTTGTTAGAAGCCCATGGGTAGTATCTAAAAGGCATAAAAATATTTATGTCCACATGCATACTTCCCCAAAAAATCTTAATACCTCAAAATCTTAGCTTAACACCTACATTCGCCAAGAGGTGTGGAAGCAATTGAAAGCTATTGTCTCTACAATTTTTCTCAGTGAAATTTTGGGCATCTGAAAACTGAGACATAATGTAGCTCATTGAATTCCCTGTTGTTAATAGAGGGAGACAGAGAGCTAGATACCCCAGTTTGCTTCATTTAGGTGTACAGCTCTTCCCATCACTCCCAGAGAATCACCAGGCAGTGCTGGCATTGCCTGGCAGTCGCCTTAGCCTGGTGGACACACCTCAGGGAGAGCAGCAGGCACTACTGTGGTGCCAGATGTGACCTCTCTGCAGGCTGTTGTAACTACACATAAATTTCCTACCTGCTTTCCTCTGACCATGTTACTCTCACATTTCAGGTTGCACAGCAAGTCAGGTTTAAGAAAATAAAACTTTCTTAGCTGTACCATGAGCTGACAGTCAAAGCAGTGTCCATCTGATCCTCAAAATAAAGTCTGTCACCACTGTTCTTCCATGCTACTGCCTCAGCTACAGGATTATGCAAAGTTGGATACAATCACAAGTGCATATGGAATTTTTGGTTGAATCTATGAGCAACACATTTTCCAAGCAATAAAACAGTCTACTAAAATCAAAGCTGGGGCTCAATCCTACTTCCTAGTACTAAGTGTTTAGGTTTAAGCACAACTGCTTTCCTTGTGGATGGGGAGGATTTTCATTCACTGAAAATTAAGAATGTGTTTTAAAGCTTGACACTGTGTGACTTGCCAGATTGGAATTGGACAGAAATATAAAAAATCAGTCAAAAACCCCCTCAAATCATTAATGGCATAAATACCATACTCAGAAATGTCCCAGAAACATTGTCTAACTTCAGAATCCCAAATCATAGCACCTAAGAACTAAAATGTGACTTAGTCAAAATTTGGGACCCCAAACACACAAAACTGTGGTGCTGAATATCCTGCACACCACTGCCACCTACATAAGTAGAAATACCTAACCTTTCCAGAACTCTCTAGATCTTCAATTTCTACCTACCTCTCTGTTTCTTCTCATGCCATAATGAAATGATAACAATGTCTTAAAAAAAAAAAAAGTAAAATAAAAGTTTAAGGCTGCTTGCTTTTCTGCTTATTGTAGACATTTCTTCAACAGCCTGATGGCAAGACCATTCAAGGTAGCCATCTATTTTGTAGGCTAGATTTCATTGCTGCCTCTGTTTGTAAGTGCTCAGACTCCCTCTCCCATAGATATTCTCAGACTAAAGACAGATTAGAAACAGACTTTACGCTTTTGAGACAAGTACTTTAAGTGGAAGCACATGATACAAGAGATGAGTAACATCCCCTCCATCATTACCACTACCTCCCCTCCATTTTGGAAGGAATTCAGTGTTGGCCCAGTCTATGCTCCAACCACAGCCATCAAAACAAGCTTCTCCCAGCACCTGGAGTTTGGCATCGCTTCTGCTATGTCTGCATAGCAATGGCTGTTAAAGCAGATGTAAGTCTCTATCATTCTCTGGTAGCTAAGAGCCTAAATTTCACATCTGTCTTCTCTTAGGTGGAATTTACTGAGTCCAGACCTTGATCCTAGGAACTAGCTTGATCCAGCAAAACAGAAGAATCAAGTTTTGAACTAATATATCTCCACTGCTTGTTCTGTCTTTCTCTGGATCTAGCATCCTTATGCCTCAATTTCAATAGAAAGGTTGTGTGTGCAACTGCAGTCAAACCCCAGTGGTTGTTCATCTGAATAGTTCTTCCTCCTCCACTGACTATATTGCGTGGATCTCCACTGATCAGCCTAGGAACACAGACACCTAGTGAATCACCTAGTGCTCACCTAGTGAATCCCACTGAGTATGATTTAGCCCCAGGTTCTCCAAGTTTTCATGCATGTTATTTCCCATACTGGAATTCCCAAAAGATGTCAAAAGCAAATCCTGCCATTATATGGAGTCTTTTAACCTTTGTGCAGACTACAGGTAAGTAGGACAGGAGAATGCTCCTAATTTCCAGGCCATTTGAAATTAGGTATTACAGTATCTTTCCAGGCAGAGCTGAACCTCAGTTGCCTGCAATTTTCTCTTAGAGCTAATTGATTCCTGTAGATATAAGAGCTTATATGGCAAACTGACTAACCCTTACCATAGTGAGTGCTAATTGCTTGGACTTTCAAAATAGTTTACAAGAATAATACATGCTAACCACACATACCAAAACACGGTGCTATTAGTCAGTGTTCCAAGCATGTTAATTACCCTTTCCATAGTGTGTGTGTGTGTATTACAATGCTCCAAAGATTTATTTTAAAATAGTCAAGCCACGGAATGGAGGCTGAGATCACAAGAGTCTGGGTTACAAGAAGAGTCTGGGTTAAAGCAACAAAAGTTAAAATGTAAATTCTGAGGTAGCATCTATTCCCAATTCCACAAGTTTTATTTTGTTTACAAAATAACTAATTCAGTGACTGAAAAAATAATTGGAAGATTTTCTTGAAAAGGAAGAGTGAATACCACTGATGTCCTATATTTTGTATTTCCTTTCTCAAAACAGCTGTCAGAAACTAACAGCACTAAAAGCCCGTAAAAAAAACAAACATGAAAGTAATGAATAAAGTAGCAGATGCAGCTTTTACTTAGTGTGATAATTCCTCTCTTTGAAAAGGCATTAGAACAGCAGTAGAAAATTCTTTTTTAAGAATCCACCTTCCATTCATTAAGGCAGACGGTCAAAACCTGGGCAGGACTAGCTGCTTGTATAGCAAGCTCCTAAACTCTTTTCACTGCAGAGTCAACTCATGACTAATTGTAGACAACTGCAGTTAGGTGATAGAAATCACAAATGTATTTACCTTTTTCCCAAGGGAAACACACACTACCAAGTTCAAATATCTGTTCTACAAACCTGGGATGTACACTGGAGATCTAGTCAAGAAAATGCTTGTGAGATCCAAAAAAAAAGAGGTTCAAACCCCAAAAGAAACAGAGGTGTGGGTGTTCCATTAAAAGGGAAGCCTTTACTAAAAGGCTTCTGGGTTTTTGAACCAGGTTTCAAAAGGAACAGTCAGCTTCTGGGAATGTGATATTGCCAATCAGGAAAACTGAGAAATATGTCTATAAAACATTTAGAAGAAATACAGCTAGAATTGAGATAAAATAATTCTCCCAGAGAAGTCTCATTGTCCTTCCCTCCTCCCCCATAGACACTTTGGGAACAAAAGTTCCTAATAGCCCATGGGAAAGGGAAACATTGTTTTCAATGTCTTTTGCAACACACAGAGAAAATGTTGTACCATTTAGGGTATGCATTTTGTTCAGTCGAGCTTTACAAAGAGCACTGGGCTAATAGATGTGACAGTGACGGGTTTTTATAATATCAGTGTTATATAACTTCTTGATTTTTTGTAGATGGTTAGCAGCAATAGAGCTGCATGGGACAATGTGAACTCATCTCTCAAAATAATATGATATGACAGGCTAAGTGTATTCTGGCTTGATTTGCACCAGGGACTGGTGTAGAATATCTTACTGCAGTGCAGCCATTCCCAAATCGAACTGATGAAGTCAAAGATGCTTGTTAGTTCGAGAAGTGGGGGAAGAAACCCTGTGTTTTCCGAGAGTGTCATCTCCTGGTCCTTAATGAATAGTGTATTGTAATACAGAATTTAAATTAAACGTGTACCAGGAAGGGTAACCCAGGAAGGGATACTTGGGTTTTATTTATTTCTACATCTCAATGGCAGTCAGCATACAGAAAGCATGATACAATGAGCTCAGCATGTGGGGGTAATCATGTAGTTAGGCGGCAATCTTTAATCTAGTTGAGGCCAGTAATCTCTGGATGTTGATGTGCAGTGTCATGTGCTGCCTTTTAGCATTTCCACATGGGCGATCTGTTACTTTGCAGCATTAGAATCTGCATTTGATTTCTTACTCTCTTATCTGACTCCTCAGGGATTCGGTAAACCCAGCAGTAATTTACAACTGCCATTCTCTTTGGGCTTTGACACATACGCAGTCAGGGATTAAAATCAGGCTTCTAAAGCGGTTACCACTTGCAGCCGTCCACCCTGCCCTTCTGACGGAGATTGCCAGTGCCACCACAGCAAGTCTGAAAACCAGCGAAGCAACTCCTGAACATCTCAAGCCTGTTTATTGAGGTAAATAGATCCACTTTGAATTTAATGCTTAGCTGAGAACAGCAGCAGTACAGAAGCTGATTCATAAATCATGCAGCAATCTTTGTCAGAGGTCGGGCAACAACTTGGGCAGCACCCATCTGAGCCATCTGATTTTATTCTGCTTCTTCATGTGAACGAACACTTGGACTTCAATGTTTACAAGGTAGTAAATGACAATCCTTCCAAAAGCAATTGTTCAGAACAACAGGGCTACTTCAGATGCTTTGCAGACTATTATTTTACTGAGTGCTTTACAGACTCTCAGTTTTTGTTGGTTACAATTTTTTTTAGCTTTTTTTCAAATATTCACAGCCACAAATGATGCAGAAATGAGGGTTTGCTGCACATCCTCCTTTGAACTCCAGTAAGAAGTGTCTTAAGTCACTGTCTCCACATTGGAAAATCTCTCTCTTTCAGACACTTGGGTGCAATTATATAGCAAACTCAGAAGTATTATATAGCAAATTATGTAGGCTCTTATTTACATGTTATTATCATACAGAGTGAGCAATCAAAGTAGTTGTTGATTTTAAATGATAAACTTTTATTCTGAATATACTGTTTTTGCACAAGAATTAGCACAACAGTTCTAGGATTATAAACTTTTTATAACATTATTGTACAAATTTTTACAAAAAAATTATTTTTCCAGGCTTGTCAAGTTCCACAAAAGTGTCAAGAGAACACAAGAAAAGGGAGAAAGACCTGCTTGCCTTGTAAGAGCAATCAAGCCTTTTTTTGCAGAAACGCACACTGAGCATTTCAATAAAAATATCCCAGAAAGCATGATCCAGACATTCCATACAACACAAGAAGAGAAGACAGCTTTGTCAGATCACAATCGCAATTTCATGGCATCTGAACAAGACAGTATCCCTTTAGCCTCAGTGAAATTATTTCTTCAAGATGATGTTTTTGTTTTAAACCATAAACAGGACAGATGCAAGTAGCTGGGAAGAGGGTGAGGCTAACTTTTCAAAACTCTTGAATTGTTTTCAGACACTTTGTTTTAATCTTTTTACAGTAGTGTACAATGCGTATTAACAATATTAACATTGTGGTTTGAAAAAAAAAGAAAAATCTGGCCTTTGTTAAAGGCTTGGATGTCTGATGAAGCTAGGATAAAATTTATCCTAAGGAAGGAGTTATTAAGATTTCACCTTCAGTCAACATTCCGAAAACACCCGAGTGCATTGCAGTGCCTTGTAGGCATTAATATACTTCTTAATAACCAGTGTGCTAGCATCTGACTTTTTAGGACCGGTGGGACTGAGGTGGTGTTTTGAAATTAAGACATACTAAGCACGTTTTCTGAGCTTAAGTGTTAATGGGAACAAAAGGTCTTAATGTCTCTTCAGTGATACCGAAAAACCACAGCAAGTAACACTTGGGTTGCAAAGGTCACTTAAAAGGGATACTGCCTATTTGAACCCAGTAAGGCCAGTTTTTAAGTTAGTAAAAGGAATATTATAGGAAAACTTATAAATGGCAGCAACACTGTTTTTTGTCAAGTTAAGCAGTAAAGCCTCAAGCATTAGAAACATGAAAAAGATCATACTAAAGTCTTAAAGGTATAGGACCTAAAAATCTTGTCAATTAAACCTGCTATGTCGTGTTAAAAACCTGTTACAAATATGGACCACAGTCAGTGTTTTGGCAGTAATGCTGGTTGTTTAAATGAAAAACTAGAAAGAAACCTTTCATGTTAAGTCCTCAGATCATGTTTTGCACAGTACCATGCTGTAACAACTGTAATGGTGGTTATTTGTCAGACATACAGTAGGCTGCATGACTTCTGTGTAAACTGAAACAGTCCCAACAGTTCCCTTAGTGCTATTTAAAGGATCTGAGCAAATATCAACACAGCTTTTTAACTGGCTTTAAAAAAAAAAACAACAAACTTTTTACAACATATTGTAATTTGAAAATGTCTCAATTTAAAGCCTAGGATCAAGTTTCTTCTCTCACAGACAAGAGAAGATTACTATTATGCATTATGTGAGACTAAGGATACTCTTCTGCATGAGAATATGTATTTATTCATGCAAGTTATTTCTAACAGACTGGTATTCACATTTTGAGATAGCTAAAGTTCACATTGCATTTTCTATTTGTGTTTTGTAATTTGCAGATATCTAGGTAGTGCATTTTAAAAAATCTTGACCATCACTTGGATATAATCAAAATATATATTGCTTTCTGCAAAAAGAAGCCAAAATTTCATTTTTTTCTTTTTTAAAGTATTGAGTTCTATGGGGACAGTACTAAGCCCTTCTGGGAGGGCCAGCTCCTGAGTTTTCTATGAGACGGGTATAATGGCTGGAAGGCTAAGTGTTTATACAGAAACGTGTTTCTTCAGGTCATAGAGAGGGACAGAGGAGAGGAACAAAGGACATTTCCCTCTGCAGATAACCCAAGAAGGCTAATGTGTCTGCATGGCATGGCCTTCTCCCTCCTTTTGTATTTGAGCACTAAGGGAAGTGGGATGAGAGCAAAAGCCACGTTTGTTTTTCTGTGGCAGCATGGCTTTGTGCCATCTTTCTTTCTGCCTACAGACTCTAATCGAATGTTTATTAAGTAGCTCAAAATATGGCCTACCAGCATAAGCAAATTGTTCCAAAATGTTAAATAATGTAACTTTTCCATGAAGGGTTTCTTTTGGGAAGCTAAGTGAAAACTATAAAGAACTTAATATACTGACAATCTTTCAAGAAAGTAAAAAAGCAAAATGCAACTAATATGCATTTTAAGTAATCTTAGAGTAAAAGCTATGAGTGTAATAAGTATTGGCCTAATCCTACAAAACTTTTTTCTCCCATAAAATTTCAATTGACCACGTTAAGGAAAAATACAGGATGCAGTCTCAGCATTAGAAAGACTCAAACCAATTTTTTATCAGGTGGTAACTGGTGATAGGGTGAAGAGAAGTGCAGTAATATGACTGGAAGGAAGAGCTCCAAGATTACCTTCACCCGTATTATCAAAATTAGCTCACCTTCCCTGAGGAAGACCTGAAGTCATCCAACACAGTTGATCGTACTTTTAACCCCATGACTTTACTAGAGATATTTTTTTAAAAAGCTAAATCTGATCGCTGAACAAAAGGTCAGGTTTTATTGTTTTCACTCACTGTATTCCCAAACATGAGAAAATACATAGCTGGAGCCAAGGTACATGAGAAAAACAACGAACCAGCCATGGGTACAACTACAGTAGACAACTGATCTTTTAAGCCATGCCATGGCTTTGAGTAGCTTCTTCAGTTTTCATAGGATATTAATGCATGCCCAATTATTTCTTTAAGCTTTTGGCATGATCAAAATTATACCAATCAATTGCCAGCATATACATACCAATGCTTTGCATTTTCTTATTTTTTTAAAGAGCTAGAGTATTGTGCCATGTTAATATTTGCATATTGCAGTGGTTAGCAGAATTGTACAATACCAGCGGAGTTGCACATTGATTGGTTTAGCTGTCTTGCAATACTGTTTAGTTCTGAAAACTAGAAAAAAAGCACAAATCATATTTTGCATCAACACTATGCTACACTTTAATATTGTAATTTACTGCACCAATCTGTATCACCAATGAGGTTGTATAAAAACAACTTCTAAAATTATTATTCACAATCAAGTATCAATGTGCATACATATAGATTCAAGGCTCCCCATTTGTTTAGATTTTTTCTAATCTCAGCAACCAGGACATTTTGCTGTTAAGTATGCTATTTTCAATAATAAATAGCAACAGCAAAAGTTTTAATATTATGGGTGCTTATATGAAGGAAACAAAGGGGGAACCTGATATGAACCTTAGAGAACATATACTTCCAAAAATAAATGTGTTAAATCTGATTTTTATATACTTAAAATATCTGTACACAGGTTTTCATGTGAGATCACTATTCTGTAAAAAATCCAACTCAACCCTTTTGTTACAATAGCTAAATTTACCCTATTTTCTCAGCTTTTCATTGCACAGTATATTCAGAGCTCTGTTTCATAATATAATTTAATATGATTTGATTGCAACACATTGCAATGTTCAGTTTCTCACACAAAAGAATCACTCAGTTACCTTTTCAATGGACTATACTCTACCATCAAAGAAAACAAACTGAAAAACAATAACATAGCATCATCATCATGCAAAATACCCTTGGAAACCAACGTTCAAATATCACAAAGACATTTTTTATTCACAAGCGTTTTTGTTTGAGCCTTTGAAGGATTCTACTAGCTTTATATATAACTGCATTGTGAAAAGGAGGTGAATATTACATTGAAATTAACATTTTTCTGACAAAAGATGACACCAAGTTTAAGATGAGAATCACTTTTTAGTTAAACTCTCAAGCACCTTTATATTTTTAAAAACAGAAGTTTGTTTCCTTCCTTCCTTCAAACTAACAATTTATCAACCTTCCAAAACCTAGCTGGCTACATGATTCATTTTGGAAGAATAAACCACTCATCATAAAGCATTTCAATCATGTTGAACTTCTGATGAAGACTAGCCAATATTTTCATTTTACTCAAGTAGTTTGGACAAAACTGATGTTCAAAGCACCCATCATGGTGCTAGTAATGTATATTGGGGAGTACGTTTTCTTTTTTTTTTTTTTTTTTTTTTTAAATAACTGTTCATGTAAAAGAATATAAATCTTCAAGATGTCCAAAGGTTAAAAGAAATGAAAATCATATACATAACCTATTGTCAGGGGAGCCCTTTTACATGAAGTCATCAAGATTACAACAACAAACAAACGAAAAAAAAGTAATAATCTTAGATTCCCCAATGGAGCACGTACAGAATTCTGTTCGGATGGCATAGATGATGCAGCATTCACACACGTTTAAGGATCCGACACTCCAACATGCAGCCACTGTGGGTGCCTTTATGAGTCTTACAACGAGTGATAACCAGACATGAGCACTGCTGTTCTGCTGCTGTCTGAATAGCTGACCCTTTTTAAAATGAAACTGAGGCTATCGTTTTGGCCAGGTCTTGATTAAGTTATGCAGGTTTTGGTTTAGCAAGGTCATAACTGGCAGTGTCTGCTGCCAGATAACAGCCAAAGCAGGACCAACTGAATTCCTACCATAGACCACAGTGATGGACTCAGACCAGAGACACCACCGCAGTCAGCCGAATCTTCCTGTTGACAAGAAAAGAAGAAATCATTTAACATTAACTACAACTAAATTTCCTGAGAAGTAATATACATTTTAGCCTTCAACATTTTGAACTATCCTTGAGGCATCCTTTTGGTCTTATATATATTACTTTGCCTAAAATAATTCCTGGAAGTTTATCTGATTTTTGATACAAAGAGTGGCATTACTACATTAACTATAAGCATGGGAGGATTAAAAACTTACAAGGCTTACTGCACTTATGAACTAGATGGGATACTCACACAATCAAACAAGAAATGCTATGGGATATACCTGGGGGCCCCAGTAAACCACATTTATATTCCTTAAAATTACATCATTTTGGAGATTTTGAGCATCACTTTATTGCAAGGAAAGATGGAAGAACAGACAACTTTTCAAGATTAGAAAACAAACACCAGAATATGTTCATGTCCATCTCATCAACATGATTGCACATTAAAACAAATATGCTGGGCAGGTGAAGATATGATGAAAGAGAATGAAAATCCTTTCTCTGTCTCTGATGCTGTATTCAAGCACGAGAACCAAATTTTCTATTGGCTTTTTGTACACATTTGATGCAGTCTGTAGAGAAGACACCCTCCAGTTTGAGGGCCTGCTCTGAGCTGCACCGCTCTGTCACGCATCAGTGGACCTAATTATTCATTATGCCACACAGCAATCACACCTCTTTTCCTATTCCTCTTTACCATTAATTGCTGTTATTTGGTTCCACTTTGCCTATAATGCATAATATCTTTCACATTATGGACTTATTTATTAGTCTGGCTGAAATACATTTAATTGAGTCTGTAACATCTTTACACCTTCTTGTTTCTTAGGACTGATAAAATCTGTGTTTAGCTGCCTAAAACACCAGGACAATGTTCCAGCCATTCCCTGCACTGCTCTGTCCACTGAGTCTGAGATTCATGGGTAGCTCTGAAGGCTGAAAATATTTGGTCTTCCTCTTGTTTTCACTGTATTCTGTACCCATAGTATAAAAAGACACTTTCCATTTTCCAAGACATCCCAAGCCTCCAAGGACAAGACAATAGTGTAGGTGGGAAGGGACTTAGGTATATTAGGAACTGTGGCAACTTCTTGAACAGAAGGAATATGTGCAGGGAAGGACAGACTGCACCTTAACAGTCACAGAGCCTGGCTGCCGGCACAGAGATTAGAAAGGTTTTAGAACATAAAGCAGAGGAAAGCCAACAAGCATGGAACGGCTCCTGGTTCAGACTGACATGCCACTGAGGCACATGTAACTAATATTCAATGTGCCTCAGAAAAGGCTTGGAGGGGGGTTGGGGATAAAAAGTACAATCAGGATAAATAACGAAGGGTCATTAGAACACATTTAATTTATTGGCACATCCTTAAGCAAAACTTTCAAGTGCTTCTACACAAATGCTAGGAACATAAAATTAAGATGGGGGCATGAAGACAAGTCATCAATGAACCATCCCAAACTTATACACATATCAGAAACCTGGTGGAAGGAGAATAATCAGCAGGACAGAGCATTGTCAGGCTACCAACTTTGTAAGAATGGCAGTGTAGGACATACAGCAGAAGGGTAGTATGTAAAGGATAATACAAAGTGTAATAGCATAAATGTATTACAGGGAAAGGAAAGTGTGATGGAATCTCTGTGGGTAAGAAATTTCAGAGTCTAATAATAAAAACGTAATACTAGGATTGCACTGCTGACCACTTGATCAAAGTGACAATATCAGTCATGAGTTGTTATGTGAGATTAGAGAAGCCATATATAAACTGGATTCATGCCTTATCAAAAAGCAATGTAGAATTCACATTTTTGGATATGATAAATGACTGCCTTTTGCAACAAACAGTCTTTGAATCTTTAGTGGTGCACAGGGGCCTTTTCAAAATTACTAGTAGAGAGCTGCTCTGTATAGTTCTAGTATAGCTCTAGTAGCTTTGTAGACCACAATGCAATAGGATTTAGCATTGTTGTGTGAGAGATCAGGCCAAACGAATCCAAAGCAAAAGATACCAATTTCAAGAAAGGGAACTACGTGAAAATTATGAAAAGGAGTTAAAAAACCCCAGACAACCCAAAACCAAGAAAACAGAAAAAAAACCCTTAACAAACAAAAAGCAGAAACCAGGAAAAAAACTAGAAGCATCATCTCAAAAATCAAGTCCCTCACAAGGAACCAGAAGTATATTTAGAAATATTGCATTAGATATCCAGGTAAAATGAATGCCACAATTAGAACAACCAACCATCCCCTTCCCCGAAAAACCAACCCCAAAACAAATAAAAAACACCACCACCACTCGCCCCCAAAAAAACCCCAACAAACCCAAAACCCCAAAGAAACACCCCTGCATGAATCAGTAGGGAAATAAGAAAGGCAAAAGCCCAGCTAAAACGCAATCTGGCCACTGTCATTAGAGACAACAAAAAATGTTTTTACAAATATATTAAGGACAAAAAGAGAGCTGAGGAGAATCTCCATCCTTTATTGGCTGCGGGGGGGAACATTGTCACCGAGGATGAGGAAAAGGCTGAGGTACTTAATGCCTTCTTTGCCTCAGTCTTTAACAGGCAGACCAGTTATCCTCAGGGTACTCGGCCCCCTGAGCTGGAAGACAGGGACGGCGAGCAGGATTAACCCCCCATAATCCAAGAGGAAGCGGTCAACGACCTGCTACGCCACCTGGATGCTCACAAGTCTATGGGGC